GCTGCCAAATCGGCAAACTTCTTTGACGGGTTAGCACAGTCCACAGACCACAGATGAAATCGATATTTCGCAGTGCGATTACGGAAGCATGTTTTCCGGAACCGATTTCAAAGGGAAAACCCTACCAAAGCTTTTGAAATCATTCTCTTTGACCTATATTAGTGCCCCATTTAAGAATACGGAAACAAAATGTAAATAAAATAAGAGAATTTCTGGAAACGAATATTTAATTCCTTTAAAACGTTTAATAAACAAACGCAATAATAAAGTCTATATATAGCTTTTCATATGGGAAAAAAGTAAAAGATGTAAATATTTTGGACTTTGAGAATCTATTCCCTTAGCGCCCTATCGTATTAATTGAATGTTTTCTTGTTCAATTTAAGGATTGTGAATACACTCAATAATTATATTGATAAAAAGGGTAATATTTTTAAGCTTTCTGAAATGGAAAACAGGAATGTTTGTGTGCATTTACTTCCTTTGAAGTGCTGATCATATCATTCAACCGATTTAATTCACAACACAACCGACCACATTGTTTTAAGGTTAACTTTGTACCATGCGTAATAACCTTCTTAATATAGAACAACTCGTTTGGGCTTTCCACTTAATGCCATGTGTTCTTCACTGAGTGGCCCAAAAAAGCCAAACATTTACCCCACTCAATCGATCTCTGCTGCGTGGGAGATGCAATTAACCGAAAATAATTTTTAAAAACAATTCGACAGAAAGAAACGTTGTTTACTCAGTTCCAATTTCCTTCTTTCCGACTACACTTTCTCTATGCAGCAACACAGCACAGTAAAATAAGTAAAACGATTCTTGATTTCTTTGGTCAGCGGGAAATTATAATAGTTAATATACACAGAATTGTGTAAAGCTAAAGTGTGCCGATATCGGGAGCTGTCAGTGAACTACAGTTTAACCGAAGTCGCCAAAGGCGATAATGCGTGGGCGATAAGGTTAATGTGGATGTAAATGTGCATGTGGATGCTAAACCATTATATGAGATGGAATGGAAAAAATCCGAGTACCAATCCAAAACGAAATCAATGGCAATGCCAAATTGGAAGACAAAAGCGCACTGAAGACAAAAGAACAAGACAAATGCGAGCTGGTAATAAAAATAGCCGCATAATCGCACAAAAGGGATGCACACAGAATGGAAAATGCAGAATGCAGACCGAGGCGTCGATGAAAATCACTAATTGGAAAATGTTTTTCCGCAGCGGTCGTTGTCTGTGTTCATGGAAAATGGAGGGACAAGAATTGAATTATCCAATGGCTTAAATTAGCCCATTGGAGGGGCCGTTTAAAAGGTAGTGGAAACAAAACATAAGCTTGCCAAATAGTAGCAGAAATAACTACGCAACAATAAATTATTCTGCCGCAAATTGCTTTAATGGACACGAAACTAAAACAGAGGAAAAAGAATCGTGAATCGTGAAACGTAATGAAATGTAATGAAATATGAACGGGTCATGTGTACGTCAATGGACACAGTCACTCGGTTTGGGTATAAAACAGTGCCTATATAGTATATAGTATATATAGAGAGCTTTTTTGGAATGGTGGAGGGGGGGGTTACACAGAGAGCAGCTGATTCATGCCGCTAAAGTATCTCAGTCGGCAGTCGGTAATGGTGAAACTACATAGCTTCGAGAATGTTGGCCCCTTGTCTACTACACAAACGTGATGATGAGTTGCCCGTATTAGATTAGTTATGCAATTTACCCTCTTTTGTTGTTCTAAGGTTCACACTTATTGCCTTTTTTCTCTGTAACTCGTTGTGTAATTCTGTGTTGGATTTAGCTCCCTACCTGTTTAAAGTGTTTTCTATTTGCTTTGGTTGAAAACAGTAAATATAGCGGTCATTAAATACTTAAGAGGCTTACAGTTTGAGTCTCTTAAAATTTGTAATTATAGGTTATTTTTGTTTATACAATATTTTTATAGCTTTGGTTGTATTTCTCTAATCGGAATTGGTATGATATTTTCACAAGCTAACATTTTTTATTAACTAAGAGCTTATGGGATAATACAAATTCGAGCTGTTACCCAAAGTCATATAAAAATGAATCAGATCTTAAATGTTATCTTAAGTGAAGTTTCGAAAAACAGTCGATTGTGGCTTATAGCGAACGACCCCTGTATTAACCAGTCGCAATTTCTGTACGCGGCATTCAAATGAGCGTGAATCACGCGCGGTGACGATCGATTTGCGAAAAATCTATGAAAACTGTGAGAATGCCGGCAAAAAGCGGCTGCTGCTTCAGATGGCTGATGATTAATGTAAGGTTGGGAAAAGAGAAAAGTTAGATACCACTAAAGAGTACCTCTAAAAACACTAAACAATCACCTAAGCTATCAAATTTCTCCGCATTGCGATATAATAAAATACGTTAAATAAGAGAACCCGAAGCCGATGACATCATGGACAGAGTTCGTGGGCAAAAAAACCACAGAAAAAAAAGAGAGCGGCGAAATGACTAACGCACGAGAAATAAGGGGCAGAAGTGGAGGTCCAGGAAAAGGGCGTGGGATGCAAGGTGCGCCGCAAGGACACTAACAAACAAACATTAAAATAACACTCTAATGACGACAGTGCAAAATAATACTCAACTGGCAAACAAATTAATTAGAAACGCAATGATAAGGAGGGCTTAAAATGGGGGATCTCGGTTGGCAAAACTCACCCAATCCGTATTTGTAGAAGATCTCCTCGACGGACACAATCTTGGGCTGCGGCGGCGAAGATGACTTAGACGAAGATACAGCTGGCACGGGAACAGCCTTCGGCTTGGGCGGCTCCTCCTTGGGTTTGGGTGCCTCTGCTTTCGGTTCGGGTGCGGCTGGAGCTGGAGCTGGAGCTGGAGCTGGAGCTGGAGTTGGAGCTGGGGCTGGAGCTGGGGCTACCTTGGGCGCCTCTTGGACACTGGGCTTGAACACCACCTCCTCGTCATCCAAGTCGGTTACCAAAGCGGTTGTCACGGGAACAGCCACTGGAACCGATGGGGGTTTGGCCACTGGCGCCACCACAACTGGAGCAGTGGGAGCCGGAACGGGTGCGACTGTGACCGTTGTGCGGGGCTCCTCCTTGAAATCACTTAGCAGATCCTCCGACGAAATGAACTTCTCGTTGTCCTGCTCCTTCAAAGCATCCACAATGGGTTTTTTGGCCGGCGAGGGAGTGTACGAGACGGACGGCGATTCGGTGTCCGAATCCTGGTTGGCATTGCTCAGTGGAGCAGGCTGAGCAGCTGGCTTGCCCAGGAAATCATCGTCGTCGTCGTCGTCGTCATCATAGAAATTGGCCTTGGACGGTGCCGTGGGCTGGAAGGCCTGGAGCGGAGCCGATGATGGATGGTCACTGAAGCTGCCCAGAAGATCCTCCTCCACTGGGGCAGGAGGTGCTGGAGCTGGAGCTGGAGCCGGAACAGCAGGTGCTGGAGCCACTGGAGCTGGAGCCGGCACTGCCGGAGCAGGTGCCTCTGAGAAGGGCGCCAGGGGAGCGGCAAAGTTTCGCTCCGCATTCATAAAGTCAGTGGTCAGGCCAGAGATGCCCTGTTTCACCTCCTTTCCGGCATCACTGAGAAAGTCCTCGAAATCGTCGACTTTGTGGGCGAACTTGGCATCCAGCTGCTTCTCCGCCTCCTTGACGCCGGCGGACATGCGCTGCACAAAGGCCTGGGGATCACCAAAGTCCAGGTTCTTTTGCTCATTGGCGAAATAGTGCTCCGTATGGGCATTGTCGTCCTGGGCGCCACCACTCACGTTGCCAGCATCGCCGCCGATGCCTGAATCCTCGTAGGCCTTTTGTGCCCGCTGGAAAATGTCCTCGTTGACGGCCGCTGCCTCCTTCTTCAGTTCGCCAAAGTTCAGATCCATTTTGTCCACGTTGATTTCGATTTGATTTGAATAGGGACGATAAATTAACAATTTTCACAGATGTTGCTTGTATATCCTGGCTTTCTGATTGGAACCTCTCCCTCGCACACACACACACGTACGCAGTCGAGATGTCTCTCCCTCGCACACACCCACACGACGCGCACACCGCACACTACAGCTGATTTCGCCGGTTTCGAATTTTTTATGGCAATTTCACTGGTTTATTGCGAAGAAAGCCGCAAATCGTCGTGATTTATTCTGGGTGGCTGTGATGTTGTACGTTAGATTTGTTTTTGAACTACAGCGACCTCTTTGCAGGCGCCGTCGATTTTCGTTTGAAAATTTTCAATGGACCTGCGCTAGAGCTGGAACAAAACTCGATTTCTTTTCGATACTATCCGAGCTTATTCGATAAATCGCCAAATATTTGCGTTTCGAACCACATTCGTAGCCGTGACACGAACCTGGTTGGGAAAATTGCTAAAAATCATTCTTCAAGCTAGATTTTATTAATTTTAAATATTCAAAATGGTCATTTGGTTTGAAGTCGTCTTTTTTTGCAGGATTTATAGTTCCGTTTTGACCCATTCGATCTATCTTTGTTCCTATTAAACTATAGCTCATACCTAAACTCTTTAGGACGGACGAATTTACATAAAAACCTTGCTTTAATTTCTAGACTTTGATTTATTGTTAACACTACAACCATTTTTAGGCGGTCCACTTGAGGCATCGCGTGTCCTGGTGCGTTTTGAGGCACCGCACGCGGCAGTATCGCGTTCCGCAGGCGGTGCACGAGTACAGCGAAAAGTTGCCGCAGACGGCGCAGAAATGTCGGATGGGCTTCTGGGGTGCCGGAGCCGAGGCGCTTTCGTAGTTGGGCCGCTGGTCCTTGTCCTCCTCGAGGAGCTGCTGGAAGTTCTTTCGATATTTGGCGCGAAAGTACTCGGCGCCCTTGCGCTTGCCCTTCTTCTCCTTGCCCGTTTTCAAATTGTCCTGGAATTTCGGCAACTTCTTCGACATTACCAGGTCGGCGTGGGGGTCATCGTGGAAGTTATCCTGCTCCAAGGCCTCCAGAGCTTTGCGCGCACGTCTCTGGCGAGCGGTGACATCCAGAACACGCTTCTTCTCAGCATCCTTAATGCGATTGGATTCGCGACCCGTCATGGTTGTTTTTTTCTGTTTCTAGTTCTTGCGGGTGGGTTTTATTTGTTTGGGGAGATTTCTAAGCGTCCTTGTCATGCAGCGGGAAGCTTATCCGATCCATTAAATCATCGACTCGCGCCTGTAGCACTTCCACAATGTCCGTGGAGATAAACAAATGGTTCTCGTCCAGATCCTGGATAATGAATTTGCGCCCCAGAGCCAGCTTTTCGTCCAAATGCAGCAGGAATTGTTTCATAGCAGGATCACTGCGGGAATTTGGTTAAGTAAAGCTTTGCTAACGTGAAAGCGACTACTTACCACTCCACCAGCACTCCTTTCATAACATTTACCATGTTGCAAGCATTTGTTTGACGAAGAAAATAAACAATCTGCTTATTTTCAGACCTCCTTGTCGACACTCACAGCGAAGCGCAAACGCCTGAGATGGGAATCACGCTTGCTTAATGTCAATATATCGATATGTTTATTAATTATTTAAACTATCGATTCGTATACTTTATAACTAGATAAAATCAATTATTATATTATGAGTAATTTTTTTCGCTGAAAAAAACGCATTATCTTGTAATAATTATTTCATATATCTTTTAATGTTTACGGTCGCTAAAATAGTTAATTATTTGGAGCAACGGAAGTACCAGCCCTTTAAAGCATCACTGATTTGCTACCAATAGCTCTGCCAGTCACAGCGGAACGTAAACATAGTAGGGTTAGGGGTATTTGCAAGCCAGCGCCAAACGGTCACACTGACAAACACTGAAGCAAAAGTGTGAGCAAATATTGAATTCCAAATTCGAGCGAGGAAAATCGGGCCAAAGGACACAATGGAAGCTCTGAACGGAAGGAACGTGGCCCTGCTGGTGCTCTGCCTATGTGCCGGTTACGCCCTGGTGGTCGCCGAGGGCGAGAAAGAGATACCGGCCACGAAATTCAGCCAGAACATAGCGCCGACGATGACTTTTCTTTACTGGTGAGTGCGATATGCGGGGCAATTAACATAATAGATAAGGCTAATGAAGTACGTGTTTTTTCGTCCCTCCTCCGTAAAACAGCTACTCCTGCGGCTACCGCAAGGCTTTCGAGGACTATGTGAACCTGATGGGCGAGAAGTACCCACAGATCCAGGTGCACGGCGGCAATTACGATCCGCCGGGTCTGAACTATTACCTCTCGAAGCTGATATTTGCCCTCAAGATCATCATCATTGTGTCCGTGGTCAGTGCGGTCAGTCCGTTCACCTTCTTTGGCCTAAACACGCCCAGCTGGTGGAGTCACCTGCAGGCGAACAAGATATACGCCTGCATGATGATCTTTTTCCTGGGCAACATGCTCGAGGGCCAGCTCATCTCATCCGGTGCCTTCGAGATAACCCTAAACGATGTGCCTGTGTGGTCGAAGCTGCAGACAGGACGCTTTCCCTCGCCGGAGGTCCTCTTCCAGATCATCGACAATCATCTGCAGTTCACCGAAAAGGTGCAGGAGAACCCGGACTTTGTTAAATAATAATAGCGGCGAGCGGATAGGATGGCGAGGCGAAAACAGTAGCCGGACAACAACAACACCAAAACAGCCGGGCTTACCGGCTATCTTAACCTATCTTAAACATAAGCTCTTGTCCTGATATTACCTACTTAGCCGTATCTCTGTTTTCACCCCTTACTTTAGCCCTACTGTAAGCCACCTGTATGTCTTTGTATTCCTTTCCAATGCTTGGTGATCTGTACGTGTTCTTTGTTTTGTGCGACAGTATGACGATAAGCAACCGGACCGAAAACACGGGGTACATCTCGAGATTAAAAGTAGAAAAAGCCTGCCTCCATAAAGATGTAACTTGTCCAAAGCCTTTAGGGGATTGTGTATCATTACTTGTTAGCCGGGGATATGTGAAACCATTTTTCAAATTGTAATAAAAATAAATTCGCTCTACAGTTTCAAAACCGAAAGAAACGTGTTTTCTTTGAATAGATAAGGCGTAAGGTGGGGTTTTGTCAGATATCATTCGTTAACTTATTTTTCGTAGGCATAATAAAACCGATTTTTTGTTCTTTTAAAAAAGGTAAAGGATTGAAAATGACAATGCATATCAAAGAACATTAGATTGATTAACATTTAAAGAGTGACAAACTTTTGCTAAATTCTTTGATAAAATTAAAAATAAACTTAAAACTTTGCCAGTTTGCTGATAATGTTTATACCTATTATCTATATTATCAACTGTTTCGAATCGTAAGGAAACAAAAATTCTTCTGCATTGGTTTTACGAGTTGTACATTTTATTTATCAAAAAACTGGGTTTTGTTTTTGGTTTTGTTACGTTTACAATAATCCCAACAGAGGCAGGAGATTTAACTTTCGTTGCAGTGAAGGCAGTGGTTCTCTCTTCCCATCCCCATTTTCATTTTTGGCATTCGGCATGTATGTTATATTATTAATATTAGGTGTCCACGTAATTAGATTACATATCCACGGAAAATGGCACTGTTCAGTGGTTCGGAGTTTGCTTATTTTGGCTGGGGTATTGTGGAGTTGCGGGTATTGTGGGTTGGATCGTTATCGTGATCTTGATCGTGATCGTGATAGGATAGCAATAGACTTAAGACAAAAATTTAACTGCTACTTAGTAAGAACTGCAATCTAGGGGGCGATGGTGTCCTCACGGGGTCGTCGGTTGTACTGGCGGGTGTTGCCCCCATAGCGACCGTACTCGTCGTAGGTTTCAAAGTTGCTCGGCCCCTGTGGCTGATACCTTCCCTGTTGACGTCCAGTGGAGGTGTACCTCGATCCGGCTGGATTGCGGGGATCGCTGCTCCAGCTGGAGCCGGTTGACCAGGCCGCGTTGGAGCCAGGAGTGCCGCCTCTTGCATTGGAGCCTGTTGACCAGCCAGCGTTGTATCCGGGACCACCTCCTCCTGCATTGGAGCCCGATGACCAGGAAGAGCTGGAGCCGGGACTGCCTCCTGCGCTGGATCTCGATGGCCAGGAAGAGCCGGAACCGGAGCCGGAACCAGGATTGTATCCTGCTCGGGAGCCCGAATTCCAGCCGCCTGAATTGGAGCGAGGATTGGCTCCTGCATTGGATCCTGTTGACCAGGCAGTGTTAGCTCCAGCATTGGATGGCGAGCCACTGCCTGATGGCCAGCCAGCCCTATAGTCAAATCTGGTGTCCGTAGGTGAGCCACTGGAGCCACCCGAAGATGATCCCCGGTTGGCGGTGGAGCCACCCGAAGGATTCCTTGGGAGTGAATCGGTGGTCCAAGATGAGGATGTCCTCGGGATCGTGGCACGGGCCACAGCGACTCGTCGACAAACCGTGCACCTGGAAAACGATACCCATTATACTCAGCTACATGGATTCGACCTTTGACCTGGCTTAGCGCACCTGCTGATCTTGCTGGTCGGATCGGCCTTGAGCGTCTGCTGGCGGGGCTGAACGAACTGATCCTGCTCCTCGATCACGGACAACCAGAAGGAGGCCAGCGCATCGTAGTAGTTGCATCGTCCATGGCCATGGCACTCGATCACCGGCTGGGCGCGGAAGTCCTCCAAACAGGAGCCCGGCGAGACGAGGTTCTGTCCAACGCCTCCAACATTATCCAAGGTGGTCTGAAAGTCGATTTTTGATGGGTCAAGTTAAAATCATGTCAGGTTGTAACATGGAAATCTCTTCCAGGGGACATTAAAATATACATGGGTGTCTTAAAAATGTCTTTCAATTAAAAAGTGAAAGTATCATCGATAAGTTTCAGAAACTGATCTCAAGTTGTGTAAAGATAATTTAACTAACCATAGAAAAAATGTTGCTTTACAAATCTGAGCAAAAATGAACACCAAAATCAAAATTTAAAATAATTATTATGCTTCTGAAAACAACAATTTATCCAATCATAATAACTAATAGAATAAATATTACTTTACAAGACTTAAGATTAAAACATTTAGAGTAATGTAGAAAATATTAGTTTATGTTTTTATGACTTAAATCTAAATAACATTTTCTGAAAACAATTAATTTAAACGAAAAAAAAATAATAAAATATTTTAATATTTAGAACAACAAAAATTAGGAAAGTCAAACCAATATGTGAACGTTAATTACTTTTTAAAGTCTGTAAAACCAACGGAATTTTAATTGGATTTTAAAGCAACCTTCTGAACATTTTTTAGACATTTCTAGGAAATTACTGTTTACAAATACTGGGACACAAGATCATAAAAAAAAATTTGTTTTTAATTTAAAAGCTTAACTCTGAAGTACAATAATACTTTATAAAGTCAATGAAGTCTTAAAAGTTTCGTGTTGGATATTAAAATTCCTCATTAGAAATCTTAAAACTTTCGATAAAATAAAAAAAAAAATATAAAAAAAATAAATAAAGTTGAGATTCTGAAGCACATACCATGAAGTAACTGAATCCGGTCCACATCTCCTCCCAGCCGCCGGGGCAGTCCGGAATGGACATGGACTGCGAGTGCAGGGCGATGACCCTGGTCGTGGTTTCGCACACCGCGCAACTGCAGATGGAAAGGGTACATCAGAAAGGGGTTTTGGTTAAGGGATTCTTGGTGCTTACCGCGAGATGTATCGCATGAGGTCCCTGCCCTGGATGGGCGTCATGGTCATGGGCATGGGCTCGGCGGTGGACAGCCAGAGACTGTCGTCGTTGTTCTGGGCAAAGTGGCAGACGTTCGTCACGTCGCAGAGCATGTAGGGCATGGTGGTGAACCGGCGCATGCAGGAGCCGGACTGGCCCAGATCCTGGCCCACAGCCCTGCTGGCGGCCACGTTGCCGGACAGCGAGTAGCCCTCCCACAACAGATTGGTGTTGGCCGGACAGCGGGGCACCTCCACGGATTGCGAGTGGCGCACGAAGATGAATCCGCGGCTCTTGGCCGCCGGTGGTGGTGGAGCCGGATCACCCACAGGTCCAGGGCGACCAGGGAGGCCAGGCGCTCCTGGCAGGCCGATCTCACCAATGTCGCCAGTTGGTCCCTGCACGCCATCGGCTCCGGTGTAGCCCACTTCACCCTGGTCACCGCGATATCCGACCGCACCCTGTTGTCCCCGATATCCCTCGAGTCCAGGCTGTCCGGCATCGCCCTCTTGGCCCTTGAAACCATCCAGACCCGGCTCACCACGGTCGCCCGAACGGACCATGGAGTAGGAGTACGTGACTCCGGGCTCTCCCTTGGGCCCCACGAGGCCGTCCATGCCATCGATACCGTTCCAGCCGGCCTCGCCAGTGGATCCGCGTGGTCCCTTCACACCCATCCTGCCGTTCGGTCCCGGCTGTCCTGGATAGCCCTGCTCACCCTTGACGCCATCCGCACCGGGCAGACCCTGATAGCCGATGTCTCCGGTGTCTCCCTGTCTGCCCACGATGGCGTAGCCAGCCTCACCGCGCTCACCCTGGCGA